GGACTCAGTTGTTTATGTATATTTACAATTATTTGTTAACAGAAATGAAACAAAAATTAATAATTTAATACTTCAACATACACTCAGACTCATTGAATATTATGCAACATGTACACCTTATTCCTTCTTGATCATATAATGACAAGGATATGATCAAGAAGGAACAACAATCTGGAGTATACAAGATACAATATAAAAATGATCAATTAGGTTTGAACAGAGTATGTGGGTGTCACCACCAAAAACCTCAATAAAAGGCTTAAGGAGCACATGTACGACGTAAGCAAAGGACACTATTTACAGCACTATCCAGAGTGGTGCAAACAGATGATTCTGTAGTTGAATGGGCTGAGGCCAGAATTGTTACACTGGTGCGTTCACTGACTCTGGTGTTAAATTTGGAAAAGTTCAAAATTCATAAATCCAGCTTGACTGGCAAATGTTTAAACTACAAGGATGCCACAGGCTTACCATCGGTATGGAAATATATGATCAATAATGGCTAGTAAAATCTGATGCATAGCATGCAGTCAATGTACTTTATTATCTTATGTTATTATATTTGTATTTTATTTTATTTTGTTCTACTCTATTTATTTTGATTCGTTCAGTTTATGTATTTAATGGATTAGTTATATTATTTATACTTTATATTTTGATTTTTAACCAAATGTTTGAACCATTTTAAATTTGAATTTGTTATTGCATATTAGTTCGATTATAGAACAATTGTAAACATTCCAGTAAACTGATAATCTGATGATGATCAGGTTGAAAACGTTAGTTAAAGTAGTAAAAATGATTCTCAGCAGTAAGGTGTACAGTACATGATGTATAATAATTTAATGCTTGAGATGGCAACTTCTAAACTTTACTCATAATTATCTTGCTTTTGGTAGCCACTCTAAAAGCATATGGTATGGTGGGTTATATGAAGGTTTTATTTTTGTTTTTGAAATTTTATACAGGATGTACACTGTTGCATGTTATCCACACAAAATTATGGTAATAATCAATGAAGTATTGTAGCTTTGTGAAAAACTACATATGATAAATTCTTAAAACTGTATACAATTCTAAGAATTTGTCATAAATGTAATTATAGTATTATAAAAAATTAACAATAATATGTATCAAAGTTCGGTGTGATCCCGATTTGCGAATACTCAGTAAGTAAGATTTTGATACATAATACTGTTTTCTTATATCTGTCTTCCCAATTTAAGAGGGAAAATATGGTAAGGTGTTACTTTGTGGGATTAATATATTCAGATTTTTGTTTTTATGGATGACAGATTTTTATATTAACTCTAATGTTCTAATGCAGATACGAAGAAAGTGGGGAAAAAAGTTATATATGTATTGCGTGTGAATTGTGTAAAAGTAATTGTAAAGTTGAAACTTCTGATACTACATAACTGAATTGAAACCACAATGGGAAAGAAGTGTCAAACACATTTGAATGCATTTTTTGTTAATTGTAATTGTTCCAAGAGTTTGCTTGTGAATAGGTAACTTTTCTAAATCACATTGTGTTTCTAGTTTCAGGAATTAGAGCAATTTGATCAATATATCGTGGGGGGAGGAAGAAGAAATTTATTATAAATTAATAAATATATATGTTTTATATATATAAAAAATAACTGCAGAAGAACAGTAGAATTGAGTGATAGGTGTAAAACACCAGTCACGTGTGTTGGGTTGATCTATTGTTCTTGGGGCCAATAAGATAAGGACAAGGATAAGAATTTATACAATAACTAATGCAATGAATAATGATATCAAAAATGGGATACACATATAACAAGCAATGAACCAATGGATTTTCTCCTTTTTTGGATATGATAATCCTGTGTAGAACTGACACAGTAAGGGAATCTCAATTAACAATAGTACACTCAGCTCAGTGATGGAGCTGGAGCATCTGTTCATAATGGCCCCAAGAATCATAAAATCGTCAATCTTATATTAATGTTCAAGTCTTATAATTTCTTGCAGTCCTTTGTGATCCTTTCTCAATTTCCACTCACAATCCTAGAGTCTCCTGAGTTCCACCTTTTCTTGCTAGGTTCACAGTCCACAGCACTTTCCTTTCTATGCTCTCCACACATGCTTCTCTACCTCCAGAGTCCATCACTCATTTCTTTTCATCCTTATATCCCTGGGTCTTTTTTGAACACTACCAGTCCTTCCACTTAGATTGGATGGGGAATTTTTCCATTGACAGATCAACACACTCCAATTTTTAGAGTAACTACAGATTGGACGGGTGCTAATTTGTCAATGGAAAAATTTCACTTGCGTGTTGTAAGAGTTAGTGGCCAAAGGCAGTGAATTTGAACGTAGACAAAGTTCCGTGGATTATAATTAATGGCACTGAAGAGGGGGTGGTCACCCAAAATGCATTTGCCAAATAATTAATAAAAAATTTTAGTGGATATAAACAAACTTCATCAACTAACCCATTATACATTATAGCAATACACCAACCAAAGCTGAATTATCAGGCTAGAACCAGCTAAGCTAATAATAATTTATAAGATAAATTATTATTAGTTTAGCCAGTTCTAGCCCGATAATTTGGCTTTGATTGGTGTATTGCTTTAAATTTTAATGGAAAGGTTTGCCAGTTATTTCATTTATCTAGACATGTGAGCATGGAGAAGAATAGAACAAAGATTTCTGCTGAATACAAGGCTTTCTAGAAGGCAGTTTACACTTATAGGTAAATGCAATGTACACACAGTTGATGGACAATTCCTAATATTAAAGATTAAATTCAGAAATTGTTTCCCTATTAACACTTGTATGCATTAGATGTTTAAAGTTGTATTTTATATACTTGTATTATTTGATAATTATTTAAATTTTCACTTGTAAGTGAATCATGAACAGGTGTTCAGTCAGTATTTTATACACAGAAAGTTCATAAGGAAATTGTCAAATTAATTGGGAATTTCATTTCTACAACAGATGCCCTTCTGCACTCTCTCTCTCTCTCTCTCTTTCATTGTTTGAATTGTAATCTTGAATTCAATTTCAGCCATTGATTTTTTCTTTGATTTGTCTACAGTTTCAACTTTGTTACCTTGAGCTTAAATCTCTACTTGCATCAATCATCTATCTCTTTTTTGGCTTTAGCTTTGTGGTTGTTCTAAGTGTGCTGACTCTACTTAAATCAGTGCTTTCCCTCATCCAAAATCCTTTTGTCCATCTGATCATTATTTCAGCTTGCAGCCTTGCATCCATTTCCCTCCTGCCAAGCATCACTTTGGTTCTCCTCAAGCTTACCAAGAGCTGCCTCACCTTCTGACTTGACTAAGGTAGTCACTCAGGGTCTGCTGGACTCCTTTACTAGCCATTCTTTCCACCAAGAGATGCAAATGTAAACTGTGACTTGCCTTTGAGCCCTCAGTGATCATTTCTTTATGAAGTGAAAGATTCACTAAGTCATAGGATTAGGAATTCCCCAGAAAAAGTCATCAAGCTGATTTGATTCTCCAATGATCCTATCAACTATGTCATTCATAAGCAATCACTATTTTATACACAGAATTTTTATAGAAGACATTGTCATAGAAGTGGGATTCCTAATGAGTCAATGAAACCTCTATGTAAACTCTGTATGCAGCAAATAGTCATGAACAAGTGTTCAGTCACTATGTTTATAAGATAAAAATGTGTACTGCAATTTATGTGTAATAAAATAATAACAATTGATATCAGTAAATATAAATTGTTTCAAATGTGTATTTTGAACACTGCAACTCTCATATTGAAACTTATCAATTGATATTTAAAAATGTAATATAAAAGTAGACTTTGCTTTAGAATTACTTGTTTTACAATCCTTACAAATAACCTAAATTTTCTATTATAACTACATGAAATTTTGTATTTAAATACTATATATTTTACATGAATTATAAAGTCCCAAGGATTAATTTACTTATTCAAATAATTATGACCATACAAATTCGAATGACCCTAAATTATTTGTATGGTTGTAATTTTTTGAATAACTATAATTTTTTATTGGTTATCTTTGTGTAATATTTTGTGGTTAAAACTGTTTTCAGGAATGTAATCTTAAATTATAACATGAACTTATGGGAAATACTTAACAATTTTTCAGCAACCACTTAAGTCATAAAAGTATATTTTACTGTATGAAAGTATACTTATCAACATTGACATAATTAATTTAATACTAATTTAGAAATAGTAGGCAATTTTTGGCAATTTGATTGTGCCTACATACATACAAATAAGAATTAAAGTTTTCTGGCTAGAATTTTCAGAAAAACTACAAAATTTTTATCTAATTTTTAACTTTCTAGTTAATATTTACTTATATTATTGGTTATTTATGTAAATAGCCAAAAACAATTTTCGCTTTACACCGGGAATGTTACATGGGAGAGAAATCACACCTAATCGACGATAAAACGTGTACTTATTAAAAATTGCGAGTACTTTCGAAGGCTGTGTAGGTCTTTTTAATAAGTACATGTTTTTAACATTGGTTAGGTGTGATTTCTCTCCCACATAAATAGCCATTATAGTATATTAGGACAATATATTTTGACCTGAAGACAAGACGCTATCTGTCTCAAAAAATATTTAATCTGTAGTAAAAATGGGCTTCTTAAAATGAATATCATACAATATTAAAAAAACATATATGGAATTGCTCATAAGTAAGAATCCAATAAAATGTATTTACAGAAGAGAGAACTTACAAAAAGAAACTATATATTATCTTCACATTTGTATTTTTTTAATAAGAAATTTTAATTTAAAAATTTTAAAGCTTTCAATTATTACAATATTTTCTGTGTGAATAACTGTTTATTACAGAAAGTTCTAGTGCAAGTATGGTTTTATGCACCTTTAATTTAATTAAAATTTTTTTTATTTTTAATTAACAGATATATTAAAGTTAAGACTGTAAGGGATATTAAATTATAAAGATGATTTACATTTTAAATGTTTAACAGGGGGAGAAAAACTTGGTTACAGTGTATGGACAGAATTAAGGATAGTTTTAGAAAACGATGGTACAGAAGTAGAAGACGAAAATTATTTTCAAACTATGGACAGGGATACTATATTTTTACTACTCTGTCCTGGTGAAAGATGGTTACCTCCAGGAGTAGAAGCTTTAAGAGCAGGTAATATTTGTCAATTTTTAATTAAGTTTTTAAATAAAACAAATATACTCTTCAATCTCTAAAACACAATGCAGAAAATAATGCTTGAATCATTTAATATTTACACTTGTATCATGTATAATAATAATTTATTATAAAACTGATTAAATAATTTTATACAATTCCATCCAAATATTACATGGAAATATTACTATCAGAATTTAGCATTAAGCATGTTTATATAAATAAATAATTATAAAAAATTTTCTATTGGAAAGAAAATTAATTTAGATATTTTATTTTGAATAAAAATGCTGCATATACTTTAGTGGTTTTGTCACTTTTTAATAAATTGTTTTTCAACTTTGAAATTGATTTTTAATATTGAATATTGAAGGAGTTATTGCCATTGACATTTTCTACCAAACAACTATCTAATTAGTTACTTTTTTTTAAAATTTTATCCTTAAAATTCAGGTAAATAATTATAAAAAAACTATTTTATTAGAGCACAGTCAACAAAAAAAATCCAAATTTTTACAGGATTAAAGATTTATCTTAAATGGAATACAAAGAAAAATACGTTCTTTCAACAAGCTTAATAAAGATAGATTCTCCACAGTCTGACCAATTGATAATATAGCTTCTTGCAAAGATACAGACCATAAAGAAACCAAAGAAGTAAAATATCGGATTGTTTGGAAAGTAATTTCGTGTTTTTCCATGGAAAAAAAACAATATTTTTATAATAAATAATATTTTATTGAATTATATATCGACCATTTTGGTCAAATACCTGTTGTCATCATTTCTGGTAGTAGCATGATTTCACATTCATAAAAGTTTTGATCGTTGCTTACAAAAACTGATCCAAGTGATTTTTGACATTGTCATTTCAAGTAAATGTCTTACAGTTAAAAATAATTTGTATAGACCAGAACAAGTAATAATTCAGAAGAAATTCTGATGAGCATCTCAAAGGATAGGTTACTATGTATCTTCAAGGACAGGCAGAAGCAATGACAGTTCTGCCACTGATTAAGCCAGTTTATTTGTGGCTTTTTTTTTTTATACTTTCTGCCCTGTGGACACTAAGAGAAGCCAGTTCATTTATGGGAAATACTGAAAAAACCACAGTTCATTTACTAAAGAATGATTATCATGTGAGGAAACATCAATCTCAATTTGTTCTGGCTCACTTTTGCATTCAGATTTAGCATTCATTTTTCCTGTTTAGTGCAATCATACTGTATAACCATCTGAAGCACTAAATATAGTGTTCAACTGTGACAAAGAAACTTTTATTCTTAGTAGTAAAAATAAATTTTTTTTATCACTAAGAATAGCTGATAAATCCATCAAACTATGACATTATAAATAATTTGCTATATATTCTTATTTAGTTAACAAAGTTATAGTAAATTAATTCAATTAATTTGTAATTATTAATATCACGTTAATTCCTCCAACAGACTTTTTTTTCATTCAAGTTCAATTAAATCTAATTGTTTTACTTCTATTCATTTTTATATTTTCCACATTTATGAATTTTTAAAAAATTTTTACATTAATAAATTAACTTGCATGTAAAAATTAAAATTATAATGAAAACTGTACAAAGAAAATTGGTATCAAATAAGACTTTACTTCATCCTTTCTATTATCAATAAGTCAAGAACAGAAGTTCTGAAATGCAACCATCAAGAAACTGATTTTGTAACTTTTCATTAAGTATCATCATCAAAATATCTGCCTTTGGAAACTTTTCAATTTAAGTTCATTTAGGACATTAAATCCTAAACATGAAAACATGAAAGAATGTGAATTTTGCTGTAAGAGCTCATTGTTTTCATACAGGTGTGGCAAAATTCCATATTATTGTATACGCGATAATCATAAGTCTAGTAATAACAATTCTTTTTTGTGTTCTTTGTCTTCTCACTTCTTTGTCTTTCCATTCTTCACTTCCTGTTTGTTGGAGGGGGAGGACATCGACGAGAACGAGGCCAGGCAGGGAGTATTGGCCCTGAGGCAGATAGGGAGAGAAAAGGGTCACTCTTGAAGTAGACGAGGAAGCGAGCGGATGGACATCTTGGACAGGATTCATTTTGGAGAGGAGAAGGACAGCGGATGATCGATCCATCAAGGGAAGGACAGAGAAAGTTTGAATCAAGAATCGTTTGCGTCTTCAGGCTGAATTACAGTTTCCCCCTCCAACAGGAAGATATCACATCCGAATATTCTGGGTACCCTTTTTCCTAACCTTTCTATACNGTACCTTTATTTTGTTTTCATCGGCTTCAACTAGCCATCCAGAACATGGTGCATCTTCAATATTGAAATTGCCAGAACGAAATTTTGTAAACCAGTTTTGGCACTGTCATTCTGTCAATACGTCTTCTCCATACACGTCACACAATTTTTTTCTCGCTTGAACAGCATTTTGATTTTTTGGTAATAAAAGAGCAAAATATGCCGAAAATGATGCTTTCGATCTTCTATATTTGATGGGACACAAAAAATAAACAATTGCACAAAATCAAACAAAATTTTTTACAAATAAGCCTTAAAATGCTAGCTGTCAAACTGTATAATGATAATATGGTTTAGAATGAAAATGGCGGGAAAAATATGACTAATCCGTCTAGTGAAAAAAAAAAAAAAAAAATATATTACTTTCTGAACAACCCAATAGATAAACTTTATAAACAATATTTTAAAAATCACAAAATTAGTAAAATCATTAATAATTATATTTACAGACTTGAATATTATGAAAGAAGCAAATTAGGTCTGTTTCAGAACATTTCATTGAACTGCTTACATAATGAATTAAAACTTTCTTATTCTCATTCAAAACATGTCTGTCCTCTCTTATTATTTTACTTATTTGGTTCTATTAACATTACTGACTATCCTTATAAACTCTCTTCATATATAAATTAGGCTCCTTTGAAACATTCCATAGAATAAACATTTTTCCTTTCATTAACAGTAGAAAATAGCATAAGTGTATAGGAAGTATATTAGTCATGATAGAAAACCCCTACTCCTGTCTTATAATACAATAAGAAAATTTTAAATATTTTGGGTGATCTTTACCAAGCAATAACACAGAAAAATATCTTATTTCTAAACAAAAGCAGCCAGCCTGTCAAGCATTTTTATTGCAATGTGTAATGATCTTGTCCATCCTGTCCTCAAAAAGGGTCTGTTCCTTGTCACTGCAGTCACCCAGTGCCAACAACATTAACTTCTTCATCAGTAGCAAAATGGCAATGATATATATGAAAAAAACAAAGTTAGAAGAGAGTCTCACCTGAAGAAGAACTCAGAAGGAGTTAGGAAATGTTTCTGCAGCAAAATTGTTTTTTTGTTTATACATACTGGAAATTTGTTCTGTTTGTTATTACATACAAGACAGTGTGTTGTGATGTAAGTCAGAAGAGGCTAGATCCAAGCTCTATGGAGATAATGATAGAAACCTATTCATCAAAACTATGAAGCGAATTATATCACTTGGATTTGCTGCACATCTTGATAGGACATGACAAATACTTCAATGAGCTGACGATGGATTTCAGTTGGTGAATTATTTCTCAGACTACTTCATGAGACTACTCTTCTAACCTTGTCATCATTTGGAAGTGCTATATCATAACTGTTTCACACTCATGTTGTTCTAATTAATAGTTTAATGTTGTCAATCTGGATCATTACATACATACATTGAAGTTATACTTGATAATGCTTTGATGGGTTTTGTAAAGTTACTTTTTCATCAATCCATATAATCAATAAATATAAACCATTCAACTATCCAGCAAAATTCTTTAATAATTTAAAAACGTTTTCAAACGCATTAAGCGTTCATCTTCAGTTAATTCTCCATTCGAAATGTGAAATTCGAAAAATTACGCAATGGAAATTCCAAATAACGATTATGTAAAAAATTAAAAGGTAACGCGTTACAAATGAAAGTGCTATATACAAATATTCGTGTGCTCAATAAACAATAATAATAATAATAAAATAATAACAAAAAATAAAATAAATAAATAAATAAATCTATCAACGATCATCATAAGCCTGATTGAGCCTTTTATATGGATCTATGCCACTTCGTCGCAAAAAGATTTCCAAGCGGACGAAAGCCCGTCGGCATCTCTAAAGTTGATACACTGTGCGCTCTTCTGTGCCTTGTGGATTTCCAACTTTTCAAGGTATTTTACCGCGTGTCTAGATCTGGTGGCTTTTATTATAGAGGCCTGGTCCCAGAAAACAGTGATGCCTTGTTGTTTAGCATAAGCGGCAAGGACCGTGCTGTCTACCGTTTTGTTCACTGAAAGCTTATGCTCATTGATTCTTTTTTTCAAATTCCTCAAAGTTGCGCCTATATATATTAAATTAGAGTTGAACCTGTGGTCCCGTAGCGGTATCGAGTATATTCCTGTTAAGGAGTTGCGTTCATAATCCCCCTTGTCATTCCTTAACATCCTGTATATAGTGGGATTACGTCGATAAACTATCTGCAAGTTCTTACTTTTGGAAACCCTCTTGATAATTGGTTTAAGGAAAGGTATATAATCGATGACTATTCTTTCTTTTTGGTGGTTTTGCTTTTGCCTCCTTATAAGATTATTATCTTTCTTAATGAGGGCCTCTATTCTTCTTCTTCCGTAGCCATGTTGCGCGGCAGTACTTCGTATATATTGTAACTCCTTAACAGTATCGCAAACATTTGTGCAATGGGTGTGTGCTCTCCTTATCCAAGATCGAAATACCGCCATTTTAATATGCTCCGGATCCGCTGAATTCTTGGGGATAATGATGGG